AACATCTCTCAACTCAGAGGAAAAAGGAGTTAGTTGGTGAGTCCGCGAGGTACCGACTGGACACAGTTTAACTTTCGTCAACGTAGCGCCACGGCTTTGGAACTGATCTTCTCCGGGGGAAACCTATTCAACTAAGGTGTAGACGCAGTAAATGCTGAGATCAGTGTTGGCGTTCTGGAAGAACCCAATATGACTGACGAAAACGATGAACGAAAATTTTAACAGTAGGATTTGGAACAGTGACAATCATCCGACTGTAGTTACAACAGACTAAATCTTTGAAAATGTTTTAAGCCTAAGGGGAAAGTCAAGTTCAGAGGCAGAGCATTACTCCTGCCGGGATGAGCAGTGTTCTATGCGGAGTACCGACTATAGCATTCATCATTTTAAAGGGCGATTTCAAAGCACACTCCAGAGTAGACACTGAAAAGTGGAAAGGTGTGATTGAAAAGAACGGCACTAGCGACCTCAACAATAACGGTATGCAGTTGTTGCTGTTTTGTGCAAACAACGGACTATCCATTATGAACACCTACTTCCAGCATCGAAGAGTGCATCCGCATACCTGGTACCGGGAAGCATCCGCACAAGGGTCGATTATCGATTTGATGATCGATGTCTGACGACGCTCGCTCTGTAATAGAAATTTGCGTTAAGAGCGAGGTAGAGCTACCAACCAATCATCATCCCATTGTTGGCCTCTGCGCTGTAAATCATGGAGTACCTTGGGATGACCTGGCGGCAAAAGCAACAAAACAATCAGACAAAAACAACCTTCTGCGGATACAAGAGCGGAACTTGCAAACAACACAGCTCTGCGGTTTGAATAGATCCCAGTGACGACGGATGACGTATAAATCGAATGGCAGTTCATTAAGAGCGACTTACTCCTCGCTGTTGTTAGGGATCAGAAACGAACAGAACAGGAGGACATCAAAGGTTCAACCGGCTGTCAGCAAGAAGAAAGCTACATTCAAGAGATGGCTTAGAATCAGCGAATTATCAAATCGAAAGTGGCGAGGAGTGTGCAGGGCGCAGGTGACAGCAACGGCCAAAGCGAAATCTGGTTTTTGGGAAAAGTTCAGCGAAGCGCTGGAGTCAAATTTTCGGACTACAAATAAGTTATTCCGGCACACTATCCGCTGCGTTCGGAATGGAAATTGAAAAATTTAAGAATTTCGAAGAACATTTGCGAAAGCCTCTTATTAAGGAAGAGGGCATACGTCAGCGACGGAGAATACTTTGAGGAACTTTCT